CTCCCTATGTCACCCTCTCCCTTCGGACTATTTTTAGAGTGCCCCTTTTTATACTCTGCCTGTTCTCACTGAGCTTTGCAAAGCTGTCGAAGGCAAATTAATAATTTTCATTCCAGCCTTTGCAAAGTTCTGACCTCGATTTTTCTCTCTTTTCTGCTGATCTATTTTCTAACACTACGGAGACAGCCCAAACCAGCTGGCTCACATTAAGCGAGAAGGGTCTCCAGTGATATCTGGCCCCTTCTCTCTCCCAGGCTGGTCTCAAGAGCTCTCTGGTAGATATTGCCCTAAAAACTAGATGTCCTGTCCATTTGCAATCTGTCCTACTCTACGATTAATGAGCGGACCAATTCTCAGAAGCCTGGAACTTTCACCAGATAGGTATTCATAATATGTTCTTCAACACGTTTTTATAAGGATGATTGATTTAGAAATAACCCGAACCGTACCCTTAATTATCCAAAGAAAAGGTCTAATTATCGGTAATGCTTGTTGGCTTTCATCAGGGACAACACCCTTTTGCTTCAAATCTGCAAAAAATTGTTCAGAAGACTTGCTCTCCTGACTTCACTTGACCTCTTTTCCTGCCCGCTGTGTTTGGGAAAAACTGCCTCCCAGTCAGAATAATCAGTCAATCAGAGGCCGTTAGAAAATACATGTATTTTTCAAGTGTCATTTTGAACCTGAAATTATTATTTTTTATCCTTCCAGATCAATATCCATGTTATTAAACTGTATAATTGTATAACAGGTAGATGCTATTGTTATATTATAAACCATTGGGCTCATCTTGTCATTATTTCCAGTCTGTATCTAGATTGTTATTGAAGTATAACATTACATCTCGTTAGGGCAATATGTGGTGGGGTTTTCTTAAATCTTTGTGAAGCACTTTAGGGAAATGATGTTGAAAATTCAACTGAATTAATCTGAACTTTTCAAAAGGAATCACCCAAAATCATAGATCAACATAAATCTGTCATTTAGACATTATTTAAAATGTGATTGTTAAATGTCCAGCGGCACAAGAAACGGCCACAAATACGTTCAATATAAACTCAGAATTAATATGTAAGACACTGAGAATATCAGTTTGCGAAAGGCAATATTTCATTTAATTGTCTGGTGTTTCCATTCAGCTCCCAGTGGTTAATACTGGGATGGGGACAGCCAAGACCCTGACAGACATGTTCGCCAGAATCCGCTCTCTGTGGACACCGTCATGGAACCCCTGAACATCACACAGCCACAGACCAAGTTGTTTGGAGCATTCAAGATAGAACCATATTTCTCAGCAGCTACAGCCAGAAAGTGCTTTGCACAGAAAATCCATAATTAAATTCGGCAAGCAAACTTGTGGCAGAACTAAATCTTAATATCAGAGCTGAAAAATGCAACACTCAGCAGACCCCGCAATTTCGTTAGCAAAGCATTTCCCCAGCTTCGCCGGCTGAACTGACGAATAGTCTAATACAACAGCCTGTTAAATAACATCCTATAAAGGAATTTGCGCATAGATTTAGGCAAAACAACCTTTGCCCAAGTACCTTATTGCATCTATGGCACTTAAAATAAACCTTACACAATGACTTAGTTGGACAAACAATATACTATAACTACTGTAATATATACTATATTTATTTAGAACTAAAGGTGGAAAGAAAAGTACAATGTTTCCTTATCTGAATAGGTTCCCATACATCAAAAATGTCTAAGCATATTTAGCAGATGAAGGGATATGGCACATATGTCGAGGATCCGTACCAGGACCACCGGGTTTCGTAACAGCTTCATACACCAGGCTGTGAGGACCGTGAAGATTTTAGCCCACCGCCTCCCACTGAACCACTGACCCCACCCCACTGTACCAGTCACTTCTTCGCACTAGTGCAATCTTTCACTTGCACTTTTCATTTGCATTTTCACGTCTGTATAGATTAAAAGGCTACACCCTTCAACACACTATAAAAGTCATGCTGCTAAAAGGATTTTCCATGCTACTACTCCCTCCAAACGCACCATGGATCACCACGGATACGGGCTGTGTACCATGTGTGTGTTGTGCATGTTGTTTTTCATGTTCCCTTAGTTTTTATTTTTAATTTTTCTATTCATGCTGTTGGTCTAGGAGGAACAGTATTTCATTCTTAATTGATATGAAAGTGCATGATATAATGACAATAAAGGAAGTCTTAAATCTTAAATAAGGACACATGAAGTTAACCATAAAGACTAGTTCAATGTTAATACTCATTTGGGAACATGAGGGCATAATAATGCACTAAATAACTGGGGATTCATGTTTCTAATGAAAAGGGTTTTAGAATAAACACTGAATGTTACACAATGCCAATGTTACAAAATATACAAAAAACAGGTAGGCTGCATTGCCTGCTTTCAGATGTAAATCATGTTTATCTTGTTTTCATGCTCTTTTACCTTCCTGAAGAACTAATGTTTGGTTTTTCTTTATTCTCTGTTCTTTCTCTAACATGTAACATTCACACATAGATCTGAAAAAAAATCATCATGAAAAATAAAAATGGAACTACAGCAGAAATGTAACAAAACCAAGCAACTCCATCCTCTAATGAAAATTTGTGGCAGTACCCAGCCTGCCTGCGTATTACATATGAAAAATATTAAGTTGGATACATCACTTTACATAACTTGTTATTATGCTATTATGCAGTCTATCAAATAAACAGGTTTGGATGGTAAAAGCCAGGAGGCAAATTTGATGGAGGACCTGAAGAACCTCCTTCATGGGACAGAAATTAAAATAACCATCCATCCATCATCCAGACCACATATCCCGTGCAGGTATGTGGTGAGCCTGGACCCTATCCCAGGAAATGCAAACGCACAGCAGGATTAATGCAAAATTTCCGATATTAGAGATGACTCATACACCGATAGTGACCCTCAGCTAATCTTTACTTTTTTGACACAGTTTCTGGATACCAGATCCACCACTCTGTATTTTACCACCACAAGACAAAAGGCAGGGGAATTGCTGCTGGTCTGGATACAAGCCCCCAGTCTCCTGCAGAGTAACACCTGTAACCTTTGATGCTTCAATGTCTTTCAGGATTTGTTGCTATCCCACCCTTGGCCAGCAGGAGGAGCAGCAGCAGGGTACCCAACAGCCACGGATACTGAACAAGCACATGTCCAATCACACGTTGCTACATGAGTGACATGCTGCTAGACCCCTTCTGTTGTTTCTTATAGTGATGGGAAGTTCGGCTCAATTAAACTGATTCGATTCTTTCGAACTGTCCGTTGTAATGAATCGATTCTAAAACCGATTCTATGATTCTTTTTTTTTCGTCTTTTTTTGCGCCTGACCATATGACTCAACGAATCGTGGGATCGGATACATCTGTCTCAAGGTTACGTTGTTTGACAAAGATAGTGCTGGTGTTCAACAAAAATGTTCAGCTTGACTATTCACAATAAAAAAACAAATATATAAAAAGCAGAAAGAGTGTCGATGCTGAATAATATATGTGTATATATAGTTCTTATTTTCTTTACTTAAGCCAAATTCATGTGCATGAGTATCAAGGACTACATCACAGTTAACAACAACTGCAATATTACCAATACAACACACATACCCATACACTGAGCATGAGTAAACTTGAATACGTTGTTGTGTAAACGTCAAGGTTAATAAATATCTTAGTTTGTTCTTTGATGAAAGACATATAGTTTTAGTATACAGAAATGGAATAATTTACTGTTGTGATAAACGATGAAGAGCTGCATTTATTTTATTCCTTTTAACAGCGTAAGTGCATTTCCGCAGTAAATGCCGCGAGGGCTCTTGGGATCAGTTCGTGAACCGTTCGTTTGATTCACCGACCGAGTGTCCGAAAACCAGTAAGTTCGATTCGTTCTTCGAACAGGCTCTTTTGAGTCACCGAGTGTCCGAAAACCCGTAACTTCGATTCGTTCATCGAACAGGCTCTCGGGTTTTTTGGAGTCAGCGAGTTAGAGACCAGGTACTCGGCCGTTCGGGTGTTCTCGGCACCAGACGGAAATCTACGAACGCAAAAGTGACGAATGTAAGTGACGCACATAAGAATAAACTTAAAAGTGATAAGACAAGCGCAGACGGAATCGCGGGGGATGCTTTTGGATGTTGAATAGCCAAAGATCAGTTTTAAAAACGTTTTTAAATAATTTTAAAAACCGATTCGTTCTGACTTACGAATCGGTTCAACCCGTTCACTAAAAAAAAGAGTTCAAAAGAACGATTCGTTCGCGAGTTTCTTACTAATTCCCCACTGTTTTAGCATTGTTGAATATTTCTGATGGCAGTTAACAAAATGCTTGCTGTCTCTTAACACTGGGGTCCTTTTTTCCAATTTAAAACCTTTACTTCCATTGTTAATGTTTTTTTTGGGTAAGCGTTAGAGCAGCTAAGACACATGGTCTACGTGAATTTCAGTGTGGCCTTATTCTTGGTGCCAGATGTGGTGGTTCCAGCACCTCAGAAACAGCCATCCTGCTGAGATTTTCACACACTATAGTTTACTGCATTTACAGATAATGATGTAATGAACAAAGAATGTCTGTAGCAGAAAAAACCTTGTTAATGAAAAAGGTCAGAGGGGAATGGCCAGACTCAAAGGTAACATGAAGACCACAAGTGCAAACATAATAGCTCGATACAGCAGTGGTGAACAGAATAGCTTCTCTGACCACACAAGGCGCCTACCCTTGAATTGAGTCTGAAAGCAAAAGTGGATTTGACCTGGTACTCGCTAGCACAGTGAGCCGCTGAGTGCATGTGAGTGTAGCTGAGGACAGCTTTCAGTTGTTAGGATGGTCCTTGTCACCACGGTGACAAGTCAAAGCATTTTAGGGAGTAAATCAGTTTCTCCAAAAAGCCAGTCAAGATTGATTAGCCAAATACGTAAAGAGGAACAGTAGTGACCTTGCAGTCACAGGTTAATGGGGCTTTTTAATACGCCGGAGGATGCACTCACTTGCCCTCGGAGCCGTAGCTATTCATGCTGTCCTCGATGGACTCGTGGCTGGCCTGGCGCACCGTGCGGCTGGGCATCTCCACAGCCAGGCCCGTCTCCGTGCTGCGCTGGATGTTTCCCCTCAGTTTCCGGCCCTCTGCATCTGTGCACAGAGAGACAAGCTCAGGATTAACGCGACAGTCGCCTTTAACTCTACGTACCTAGATTATAGGCTATGATTCTCTGGTGATAGCAAACCTGTAAATTATGGTGAGCAAGATTATCACCACAGAGCTCCTGGTCACGACTAGTATATCCCATTACCTTTTGGAGTCTTTCTTAGTTACCGCTGGGTTAAACCAAATAACGATTAATTCAGATTTCCCAAAGCCTTACGTCTCCTTTCAAAACGAATGATTTTTTTTTCCTATTTATTTTTTTGCTGGAGAGACTACCAGCATACAAAGAGGCCATTGATAAAGGGACCATCAAACACAGCTCAAAAGGAGGCCACTTTTCCAAAAATGTACTCTAACTATGATTATTGATTCTGCTGGTTGAGTTCAAATCTGATGACAGCTCAATGTGAGTCACCAGGACAGTTTGTCACAAATGATCTAGTGTGTTTAGCAAAAGGGGGAGGTTTAGCATATCGAACACCAAGCACTTTTCTCATTAACAGGGAAACCGCTCTTTGCTCAAAACCAGGCAAAAGTCTCAGGGGGCCTGAAAAATGCTCAAGCGATTTCAGAAGGTGACAGCATTACATTTTTTTTGCTACAGTGCCCTACTTGAGTCACAAGGTCTGACCTAAGCAGGCGTGGGGTGACTTAGGACGCTATGAGTAAACCAGGACAATCAGGTCCAGTTGAGTAGCTCATGTTTCACTGGGAAATGAGTGGGTCATATTCCTCATGAACAGGAAGGAACAAGTAGTTTTGTTCCTGTTGGTAACGTTCATGTGGCTACAGTCTTCTTTTTTAACAAACTGCTGTAAACTAATGCCAGCACAGAATCTATTTACACTATTAACCCTTATTAACACTTACATATTAACACTTATTAACCTTTGTTTGCAAACATGTATGTATCATGCTAATCACTATTTAATCCTGTCTTCTTTGACCATCAGATTTCGGTTGATAAGCAGCAAAAGATGCAGGCCCTAAGCCTTCAATAGTGAGTTAACTGTAAGAGATGTGGTTTAAATTAGATTTTTTAAGAATCCTTCAATGTTGTAATTTCAGTCAATGAGCAAAAGCCTGAAATTAAGCAGTATCAGAACTGACAAACAGAACTGATTATATTCATTTTTTTCTGGAATAAAATGGTGAGAAAAGACAGCTTGACAAGTGCTGAAAAGGGCATGCTGTTGCCATGGGAGACCTACCCAATGAAATACAGGAGTCAAATGCAGTGTGTAGCAGTGGCATTTGAGAATCTCCTGGTATGTACCTGGCAAGTCTATGGAAAACGCTCAGGCTAAAGACAACAACATGCTGGCTGCAAATGGTATGCAAAAATTAACTGGTGCCATTTCACAAACAAGACAGCGGGCTAACAATCTAAAATGGTGCAATCTAATACCTAGTCTTAAAGAATTTGTACTATGCAATTAGCATTTTTAAAGGAAAGTCAAGATTGCTAAAAATACATCTCTGAAGTTGTTTTTTTTATTCATTCATGTCAAGGACACATTGTGTTATGGAGTTGGCTTAAAACATTTGAAAATTCAACACAGAAAAGGTAGTTTAAGCTAAAACATCTCAAACTGCTGCTGCATCTGCACCTCCTACAGGCCATTCAGGTGCATGTCAGTTACTTGTGATAAATGATCTATTTCTCCAGTATTTCTCATCAGCATGCAACTCACAGTATATTATATTATTATTATTTTCTTCATACCAATGACTGATTTCTATACCTTTGTAAGAGTCGAATATCCAGAACAAGTTTTTCCACCATAAAATCCTACACAGTTTAATCTGCAAAATTTAGTCTCGGTGGTATAGTGACCAATTTATTTCAGCATAAGAGGGAGGACAAGTTTAATAAAATGGTGGTGAGAAAATAAAATGAAAGAGCTGTTTCAGCAAACACAGGACGAAAACTAAAAAATAGAAGGACATTGGGTCTAGGGAAGGGTTAGGGTTAGGGTTAGGGATTCAGCAGCGAGGTCTAGGTGAGATAAAACAGAATTCCCTTCTATTTTATTGGTCGGCACAGATATGTCAGCTTGTCACCTGAAATTTGACCCTTCCTGCAACATCCACATCTCCTACCTCATCTCACATGTGGCTGTATAAGATGTAACAGCATTATCCTAATAAAGATTAGCTTATACCGTATATAAAACACCTCCGCTTTAAATATTGCAATACATATTTTTAAAAATTGGTACGGTGCGGCGAACAAATCACCAGGGCAGAACGGCATGCCCTGCAGGGCAACTACATCCAGCAATGCAAGACCTGGGCATGGAAGATCATCAGAGACACTCACCCCCCAAGCCATAAACTGCTGCAGTGGCTGCATGCAGGTAGGCGCCTCCAGAGCCTTAAGGGGGGGGGCTGAGAGGCTGAGGAGAAACTTACACTTACTGTACAGGCCATTAGAACCATCAACACCATTGATATTCTTTTTATCTTTACTTTTTACATATTTCTATATTTGAGTATTTTTGTTAGTTTATGTAATTTTTATTTTGTAATCCTTCCACTTTGTTTATTGCAGAGTCTGGAATAGCAGCAACTTCATTTCACTGCTGGTGTACCACTACTTTCACGCATGTGACAAATGAAAATCGTGAATCTTGAAAAAAATTCCCCAAAATAAACTGTAGCTAAATAGAGCTTGTTATTTATGAACATAGTCTGTCAGATAAGTTGCTTGTGTTGTACCAACAGACATAAAACAATGCAGCTAAATCACTTGCTTTTGATCAATATCCTCACAGAATAAAAAAAAATTCCATACAGCAAAAGGTGAATGTCTTTTGGTGACCAATTCTTGTTTGCTTTTTTTCTTCCTCACTCTTTTTTGTTAAATTTCACACAAATGCACCACACTGTCTATGAGTGAGTCTAACTGCAAGAATAAAAATGACTATGAGTAGCTCAGTGAGCACATGCAAAGCTCGTGCAAAAGCAGCAGCGGTCAACTTAAGACTGATTTTTTAACATTATACTACATAACCCTGATAAGGAACAATCGTTAACATTGCAAAATTTAGTCTCAACCCAACTGACCACAGTCCTAGTGATGTGACAATTATATGTGCACGACATGCAATGCAGATAATGACATCGCACATCATGGAGACCTGGGGCAGCGTGTGTCCTTGAGCAAGGCCCTTAACCCCCAGCTCCCTGGGTGCTGCTACAGGTGGCTGCCCTTTGCGGGCAACTTACTCCACATAAGAGCAGGTTGAGAGAGACAATTTCCTCACAGGGATTATTAAAGTATCGATTATTATATCAATTAATACAAAACTTGCAAAATATTGTTGCCTATTACACAGAATATGGTCTTACAAAAAAAGTCTGTCTTTATTGCATGTTTTATTGAAAAAATATTGAACCAGTTTGCTAAGCTAAGTGCGTATCAAGTCTGGAGAGAAGTAGGTCTCATTAAGAAACCCCAACAGTACAGATAAAAATACTATTTTTATTCATTAATGCTGGCCGAATTCATTAATCAAAATGACAGTCATACGTCTCACGCACACAATGTAGTAGAAGTGAGGAGTCTTTCTGGAAAAAAAAAAAAACTTTCAGGGTCATGTTTCTCCCTGTTAATTCAAGTGACACACTGCTCCCCCAACCAAGACTGTCAAAATACGAAAATTAAATCTAATGCATTTGATTTTTCTAACAAAAATACCAAATTGCATAATAGTTCAATACACAATGTTATACTGTTTGAAACCTATAGGGTATTATATACACAAAAAGCATTATGTGAAATCCAACTTAGGTCATAGGTTACAATTTTTTTCATAATAGGTATGCAACTTTTTAATTTCTCTATTTTCACCGATTGTTACTAAATCATTTTTAATGGGACTTAAAACATGTCAGTGAATAAGTATATTACCATACGGGGCGAAGCCACCTTGCCAGAAATGGCACAATGCATCCAGCAAAAGGATTAGCCCATTAAACCAAAGACCTCAGCTCCTGACTTGTCTCCAAGGAATGACATCATCGTGTGACCACCTCACATTGGCCCAATAAGCTCCACCTCAACAATTTCCAAGGATCTTGTTGAGCCAAAATACAGCCCTTCTCTCAGGCACCACCTGGCACTGAATGATGTACTGGGAGTGCCATCATCCATCACTCCTGCATTCATAACATATTAACCAACTGACAGATGGACACCTCCATCAACAACTTATAAATGTCACTCAAGAACCTCCGCTTGAATAAACAAGCAAGCGAAAAGGAAACTCAGTCCCAGATCTACCGAATTCCTCCAGCACCTGAGCCAGAAGCTGAAATGATGTGTCAAGAACCACATACACTGTCCTGGTTGGTCCTTAGTGGATTAGCAGTGGATCAACAGTCTCCACAGCAGGCAAAAGTTTCCTAAGTGGAAAGGGACATGTGTTAGGGACTATAAGCTCCCACTGCCACTGTCACCTGAGGAATTTCAGCCAAGTAGCCATATGTTTATAGAGTATCATCTGCTTTGTGATGCCACCCACTATACAGCCTCAGACCAGTGCAAATATTTACCCATCCGCACGCCTTGCTGGGCCGCTGTCAAATCCTGCCAAAGCATGTAACTGCTACTGTACTCATAGAGCATATGTGAGCCCACCAAGCCCAGGAAAGAGCTGACTGTTCCCATCGCTGTGTCCCTGGACTAACCTTCTTGTCTGGTGAGCTGAAGTAGCACAACTTTACGCCTCATGTCATTATAGTACCTACTAATAAGTAAGTGCCTATAAATGCTGAGTTTTGCAAAAAAAAAAGAAAAAAAAGAAAGTGACCTCTTTAAGTCAATATCCATATAGAGCGCTACCTCCAGGGGTTGATGAATATTTCATTTAGATAAAATTGGCACTTAACAAAGAGTGTGTAGTTTAAGTGGTGAACGACAGAATTTGACAGCTCATATTCCCAGAATTACGCATACACACACACAACTTCACATACA